CTGCAGGGTAAAGAGCACGTGGCTGCAGAAAAACTGTTTGAGATGTGGACAGAATCAAAAGCAGCAAGAGAGCTTGAATAGAAACTAAGAATTGAGCATTAAAGGAGATTAGGAGACATTTATTTAAGCCAAAGGTTAATTAACATGTGGAACAGATTACTCAGTACAGAAATAGAAGATGCAGCTGTGAACTGATTTAAAAAGAAGTTTGACATCAAGAAGAAATATCAAAGGATACAAAGTGCAAACACTAACTAGAGAAGAACCCAAATTAGGTTTAGGGTAGATGGTGTCTCTTCTTTCTGTCCTAAAATGTTACAGTGCTGCAGTTGGTTTCATGTTGAATACACAAAAGGAAAAGTTGGAGGAGGAAGGGGTCAACAGCATAGTAATTAAATTAGAAGATTATGTTAAATTGGGAGGTGTTGCAAACACAAGTGATGCCAGAGGAATAAAATAGGTTCTAAAGTAATGGAAAATAAGGGCAGGAAATAAAGTGAACTTCAAAGTAGAAAAATACAGTAGTATGTTTTAGGGGGAAATAATCCAAACCATAGATATTTAATAATGGCAGAGAGTCACTTGAAAAGCAATAATGTTGAAATTTGTCTCTGGATAATAGTGGACAGCAAATTATATATAAGCATATCTATCAATTACATAGCTACTTAGACTTTACAATCATCAGCTGTTCCTCATGCTGTGGTCTTGTGGACTTGGGCTTGGATTCACAGAGGTATTTAGGCTCTTAATTTCTATTGACTTTGATGAAAGTTGGGAGCCTAAATATCTCTGTGGATCTGGACCAAAATGGGCGGTCATCAGTAGGAACAGAATTCAGAGGCCTCAGTCCAGCTAAAGTCCACCCAACACAGCACCAAAAAGGAGGACAAGGCTGGCTGTATGCCATCTTTATACTCCCCCATTCTCTGGTTTGTCTGGTTTGGCTCCCAGGATAAGTTCCCACCCTCCTTAGAAAGCTATACCAGACATGTCAAGACAGATTCCCCAGCTGCCTGATTAGGGCAGATCTACAGTCCCTCTGTTCTGCTAGAGCTGTGAGATGGATTGTATTGGGGCCAAATGT